TCAGACAGTTGCTGCACAACAGTTGGTTGAAGTGCAACCTGAGCATTACCCTGGGCCCTTCCAGAACAAGCAATTGTGCCAGGCAGTTGAGATCAGGGCCCGGTTGGTTGTGGCCCGGGCACACATATTGTGAGGCCGACACATCACGAAGTACAAGAAAGCAGCATTGTCGTTGTATCTACCCTGTGGGCCAGTGCAAATGCAGCAAACATTCGGAGCCTGGAAAATTCTGGGTGTGCTCAACTGGAAAGGGCCCAGGCCCAAAACTGTCAAGATGGGCCTGGGTGCAGACACTCGGGGCCGACCAGAAGCTACTGGAAACCTCCACGGCCAGGCCCAGAGAGTCCACCAGCAGCTGCTACTTCCATACAGGGAGCAAGCCTGCCAGGGAGAGGCATTCTCGCCGAGGCAAGCAATGCGGACATGGGGTGTGCGCAGGCGCTGAGAGGTGAGGGGCGCTAGCGGCCACAGCCGGGCTGCAGGGCGCGTAGGCAGAGGATGGCGACAGGGGGTCTTCGGAAGGAGGCGCAGAAGTAGGAGGACGGGGTGATGAGGGAGATGAGAGTACGTAACTGGTGTATGTGGGAGGTCGGCATTGGTGCTGACGACATGTAAATTGGTTTTCAAAGAAGAAGTGAGCCTGTTGCATGAACGGAGGTAGGCTAGGTAGGATAAGTCGAGTAGGCTGGGCGCTTGGCGCCAGACAGAGAGGAGCGACATTGAATACTGCATTGGTGTGGCCTGAGGGCTTGAACATTGGCTCACGAGTTCATTGTATTGCTCTTATTTGGATGGAATCTTGGTGCATTTGAGCTCTCTGCTTGTACAAGACTATCTGGACTTCTGCGTGATTTTGAAAATTGGTTTTCTGTATATCGTTCTCGCTCATATTCCTTCCACTTGCATATGACGATATATATATGTATACATATATATTTCAAACCGTAAGGGGATGGAGGGCAGAAGGCAACTTACCTAAGACAAGACTACTCCAGCAAGAAGGCACTGACCCGACCCCCTTAAAGATCCGAAAAAACTTGGAGAGCCTTCCGCATTGGCCCACAAAACCAAAAACTCGTTTATCAAAAACAAACACATATAAAAGCATTCGCATTCCCGACATTCATCTCAAACTACACACTCATGTCACTGCCAAAGAGGAAGACGGTAAGAGACAACTTACCAAAGACAGAAGACTCTTCCAGCAAGAACGCACCGACCCCCCCTGCTAAGGGTCCAAGAAAACTGGGAAAGCCTCCCACGCCGGCCCACAAAACATACATTCCCCCGAAAGAGAACTCGTGGCCAGCCGTAAACATCCAAACAGCCCATGCTCTAAAGCAGGGCAAACAATTAGGCCGTGTATAATCAACAAAACCAACAAGACATATCCAACCACAAAAAGAGAAAATAGCTCGCCAGTACCAGCCCAATCCTAGCCGCTCAAATCTTCCAGGACAGAGAGCTAACAATACTGGAATTTGTGTGTGTGTGTGTGTGAGAGAGAGAGAGAGAGAGCTCGGCAGGCAAGCCTCCTGATCACATACATACACAGTAAACAATGCAAACAGACTCAAAATTGAAATTATCAGCAAACGAAGTTTTTTTTTTTTGACTATCGTGGGATGAAGGGTGCAGATATCTGGAATATGCAAGAGAGAGAGAGAGAGAGAGAGAGAGAGAGAGAGAGAGAGAGAGAGAGAGAG